ATTCATGTGCTCGAGATGAGAGTTTGGTGGTCTAAATTATATATAACCATGCATGGTCTAAATCTTCTATCTATTATATACTAAAAGTCCATTAAACTTCCTACAAACGCTCTTAGGCCGCCACGTGGCAATCTAAAAACGCTCCTAAGCCGCCACGTGGCAGAAATACATCCAACCCTTAATTTTCATTTAAATTGGTGGACCCATTATTATGGACCATTAGATTAGATTAAAAAAAAACCCACCCCTTCTCTTCCGCCTATGTATGACAGGTGCGAGGGTATTGTGCCGGTCAAAAATGTCATCAGCAGATATACGTCAAGCAAAATACGTATATACGCACTGTTCACCAGAAGAAAGTAGGAAATAAATATACATACTACCTCTGTACGCGTGTACGATTAGGAAAGAAATGTTAATCCTTTCGTCCTAATATGGAATACGAGGTTACTTATTATTATGCACATGTTTCGATGCTAAGTATTAATTAGATTTTTTTTTAAAAAAATAAGGCCATGTTTCGATGCTGTAAAAGTTTGGCCAAATTTTTTTTGACATATACGGACACACATTTGAAGTATTAAACGTAGACTAATAATAAAAAGAATTACAGATTCCGACTGTAAACTGCGAGACAAATCTTCTGAGTCTAATTACGTCATGATTAGCCATAAGTGCTACAGTAACCCACATGTGCTAATGACGGATTAATTATTTCTTTAAATGTAATCTCGCGATTTACAGTCGGATTGTGCAATTAGTTTTTCTTTTTGTCCATATTTGGTGCTCCATACATGTGTCCAAACATTTAATGTGACGGAAAAGTTGGAAGTTTGAAGAAAAAAGTTGGAATCTAAACACAGCCTAAGTATTAGTTTAAAAAACTTAAAACGGGTTAATATGACTTTTTACAGCCACATTTCTATAAAAAAATTTTCAAACAAAATACACCGTTTAGTAGTAGCGGAAATCGTACGTGCGGGAAGCGAGGATTGGAACCGAGACCTGTGAACATAGCCAAAAGTTGTTATGTTCGTATGCGTATCTACCATCTGTCCTTCCAAACATAAGTACACGTGGTACTCACTATACGCTGAAAAAAAGCAGAAAATAAAACTTGTAGATACAGTTGGGAAAAGTAAATCCATCCTTCCCTCTTAATTTTAGATTCAAACCTGTTATGTTTGTATACATACACATGATCAGTTCATGATCCGCACCCTCCTCTATGGTTTCTTTTACTCTCTTTATTTTCTACCATAGTGATTATTTAAACCATAATTCACTATTTAAAATAGGATCTATCTTCAATATAAAACAGAAGAAAATATATTGCATCCTATATTAACTATATTTTTATACTAACTACATTTTAATTAAAAAATGTTCACATATGGAATATTGTATTTATTTATTTTATAAAGTAGACGAACACGCGCACACACACCACTACATACGCAACTTCACACTCACATCCCCGCAAATGCACCTTCTAACACACGTTTATATAATCCTATTAAAAGTGCACCTACATGTGCGTAATATTCGTTGTTGAAATATTTTATTATAGCCTTTCTTAGTGAAATAGCCTATATTCTAATAAAAAATGTCACATTAATATCCTTTTGCATGTCCTTCTCACGTAGCAATTAGTATTGATAACCATTTGCTCGCCAACATGCATTGCTAAATTAGATCTATAATAACCACGTGACACACGCCGTGAGTATTCTTTGATATAGCTTATCTTTACATTTTCTTTAATATAGTGCGGGGTTACGATATAAGTATTAAAAAGTATCTAAAAATTATTAGATCCATAATAATATCAAAACCCACTAACTCATGTTAGTGAGATTATTACTCGAGTGAATATTTTTTTCCATGTGTTTCTCGCTACCATTGAGTCTGTTAATTTTTAGGCAGATTGTAATTAATTTGGTCAATATGATTGAATAGAGTGCCAGATAATTTCTCTTAATAAAATATGTTAAGAACAATGCTTTTATTAAAAAAATTGCACATGGAACTATGTTCTAACATTTTACATGTTATGCAAATAAAAGTAGCAAACTTGACGACATAGATTATGACATAATATATCACCGGTCTTGAAACATTCATAACTTTTCAATTATACATGCAATTTACCATCAAGTTTTTTTTTGACTGAACAATTTATCATCATGTTGTACTCCTTTAATTAAACAAACCATTAATGACTCATAATGGCTATACTATAGTGCTAAATACATCATGACATATGCGTCGACATGTAATAAATGATGTTATGATATTTTTAAATAATTTCACATCATATTTTTATATTTGTATGGTGTCAAATATCACTGGACAAATATTCAACGCTAATTTGAATATATACATACATATATATATGTATGTATGTATGTATGTATGTATGTATGTATGTATGTATGTATGTATGTATGTATGTATGTATGTATGTATGTATGTATGTATATGTATATGTAAAAATGAAAACAATGAAATTTAGCTATGTTTTTCATGCTTATCAAATTAAATTTAAATTTCATGTATATTCTCACAATTTGTTTTGGATGATTCAAAATTATTTGGATGGTATTTGAGGAGTGATAAGCATACATGATACATAGATGTGAAAACATTCAAAAATAATATTTTCATCGGGAGAATTAGGGTCGTATATGTCGGTTTTTTATAAAAAAATTTAATTAGATAGATCATAACTCTTAAGTTATCAGAAAAAAAAAGAAAAAGATCTGTTCGTCGATTTCAACTAAAGCTGTTGGATCCAGTATGCATGTCACACAGTAAGATTAGATTTGTAAAATAACATGCCTATGTTCGGCCTTGGAGCGATATAGAAATAACGAACATTCTCTCTCTCAGTGTACGTACGTAAGTGTACTTACATAGTGCAAGAGTATACCGTGGTTAACTACTTTAAAATAACTGTGCATCTAATTTCTAACTGGTTTGTATATTTATATTATTTGTGATTAAGCTAATAATTTAAGACCCATGTTAACTATATTTTGACTATAGAAATGATATGCCACATGGGCTAATTTTCTACGCATCATGTAGCTAAATTAGAACCATGATAACAATGATGACGATGCTCTACGTATTTTCATGGTGTCTATAATTTTTTAAGTAGTGTCAAATAACCAACTACACGCATCAAATTTAAAAGATGAAAAATGTATATATAGAACTAAAATTTGATACTATAATTTAAGTGCACCAATTACTTAATAAAAATGTGTCTCCACTAAATAAAAAATAGACTAAAAACATCCGCATAATGATACCCTCACGGATCCCATATATTCTTTTGTTCTTCCCTATCTTCCCTTTGTCTCCCTAACTCTTCTCACTGTCCTCCTAATAGTCCCCAATTCATCCCATAATAAACTATGATAATATCTATGCAATTAAAAAAATACCTTACTTTTACTTTCGTTGATATGTTTTCTAAAGAAAGTAAGTCTACCTTCTTTTCAAATGATAAAGAAGATTGTAAATAGTTGCTTATAAATATTACTTAAATATGATATAATATAAAGCTAATAGGTTAGAAAATTATAAAAACAATTAATTAATACCGATGAAAAAATTATGGAGGAATTGTGGCAAATGTGTCTCAAACTTAGCGTTCGACGGATGCCCGCGTGAATGCGCGGGCTACTTTCTATTTATATATAACCATGCAAACTACCTAGTCGAAAGTGAAAAAATTAGATAATAATAAAGGAACGTTTTGTGACGAATTCATTAAGTGAAGGATGGTTTGAAGTAAGTTGATAATAAAATTGAATTGAGGAAAATTGATGGAACAAATAGTATTTGAGGAATCATTATATTTAAGAACAAGTTTCAAATGCTAGAAAAGCTAATATGTGGATGGAGGGAGTACTAGTAGCTATACTCTAGTTCCATATTGCGAGTTTTGTAGGAAAGTATATTATCATCTATACCAAATAATTCCAAATGTAACTTAGAACTGAGGCATAATCAATAAAACTAAATTAATTGGAAATTTGAAACATGCAGATCTTTACCCAACCGAAATGTTCTGTTTTTTAGGTTTTCTAGATCTACCAAGCGTATACCGCACTAAATTCTACGCTTAAACAACCACACACCACATACGTAGAAAATATTTCTGGATTATTAAGCACTTTAATATACTCCAAATTAATATTTGTTTCCCACTATATTCCCACTTCTTAAGATTGCTTTTAGCTCTTCTAGATTGGTAGAATTTAGTCGTAACGAAAATGCTGGTGATTAGCTAGGTGCTAAAATGTCACTATCGTGCACTGGATAGCCCCTCATGTTTAATAAACAAACAGTCTACTGCTAAACAAGAGTATATTGTCTTTCAACTATTTGTCTTATAATGAAAAAAAAACAAATGCACAGTAGTAGTGATTCTCTAGATTTTGGATGCTCGTGACTAATCAACCTACACCACTGCTGATTAATTAGAAACGTAATATATACAAAGCAATGGGTCGAGATCTCGAAATCTCGGTTTGAACATTGGCCTAATCGTCATCGATCTCATGAATGACTTGAGTAGTGATCAAATGATGTCTTTGTGCTACAAGCCTTGTTTTTCCTAGGGTTGAGATAAATTAACGAAAGGAGAAGGCAGGGATGACGCTTGCGATCGCAAGAACCTGACGCTGACGCCCCTCTCTGCATGCAGAAGATATTCTTTCCTGGCTCAAGAAAAGGCAGGAGCTACCTATCTTTTTGCATTTTTATTGCAATCCCAGCAGAAGATCTGTCAATCTCTAGCTATGTAGCGCGCAGCCGAGGATAAGAAAGCGATGTTGCTAGATGCTCCTTTTCGTCTCCTGCCAAACCATGAAAATTTCCATGAAAGCACACATGCACATTGCGCAGAAACTAAGGGAGGAGAACCGTTGTCCAAAGCTAGGCCGCGACAGCGAAAAGGAGACGTTAGTCAGTTTGTTCCAGTACAGTGGTGCAAGGCACAAGATATAACCATCACTTGCTGCTAAAGATCACATGATTCATTGAACAAAATACTGAAAATTGGCGATTGCTACTAGAAGAAGAATTAGAGTCCAGCTTAGCTAACTTTTTTCCCACTGAGATTTCATACATCTATGTCTTATTTCTTCTCTTTTTTTCTCTTTTCTTTTATTTCTTCTCTTCTCCTCTCTTCTCGACGCAGCCGGCGGCAGATGGGGAAAGGCGGCCGTCGAGCCCGGCCCTGGCCGAGCTCTGCCGCCGCCACCGCTCGCTGGGCTCGGTCAAGGAGGGGCCGGTGAGCCTGTTCGGAAGTAGAGCAGCAGCGGGATGCGCGAGCGGCGCGCCGCAGGACTACAACATTGTCACCAACCACAAGCCGCCGCCGCCGAGAAGCGTCGCCACGCTCTGCCCGCCGAGGACAACCACGATGTTGGCAAGGACCACCGCCCACCACCGCAGCCTCTTGCTGGACACAGGCGGCGGCGCCGCCGCAGTTGCATCTGCTCGAGACGTGCCCATGTCACACTCTGCTACCACGTCTTCTTGGCCTCGGACACCTGCACATACGAATCATCCGTCTCATCTATATAAAAGCTGGACTAGTTTCGATCGATCTCACATCACATCTCATTCTAAACCATAATCGATTTGGCAGTTCATGACCGAGAGAGAGACCTGTAATCTGCAGCTGAATTTCAGCAGCATCGCTCATTGTGAGGTTCAGAAAAAGGATAAACAACAAGATGTGCCTAGTGCTCGTCGTCCATAGGTCCAGCAGCAGTGGAAGGCTGGAACTTGCCAACTTGGAGTCGTCATCAATCAGTGAAACGATAAAAGGGTTGATAGCGCATGCACAAGGGGCTAATTTTGCCGTCAAACGTTTGAAAACTACTCCGGCGAGTCAATGTTTATGTCCTGCCCCGGCCGAGCTCTGCCGCCGCCACCGCTTGCTGAGCTCGCGTTGGAGGAGCGCGGCCTCATCAGAGACATGGCTGCTGCCACGACGATTACGGCCGCGAGGCAGCTGCTGCCTGCTGCCGCCGCCTCCGCCTCCGCCATTGGCGTCGGCGCCCATGTAGCTGCTCCCCCGCCGCCTACGCCCGCCTGCGCGCCACTCTGCCGCCCGCCCGCGAGCGGCTTCGTCCCCCACCGCCTGCGCCCGCCGGCTACCGCCGGTGCAACTGCTCCCCCACCGGTGCCCGTGAAGAAGACAGGAGAGAGGAAGAGAGGTGGAGAGGGGATGGGGAAAAAAGATGCTAACACATGGGGCCCATGTGGGTCCCACGCTGAGTCAGCTCACATCGAATAAAACCGGAGTCACAAAACATCGAGGGACCTAGTTTACACTGGTACTGTAAGTTGGGGGACACCAGATATCTGGTTTTATGGTTGGGGGATGATTTTCTAACTCGATGATAAGTTGAGGGACCTTCGGTGCACTTTTTCCTAAACTCGAGTCAGGGCCCAACTCCTAAACTGACCTGCTAATATTTGCAATGGCTTTGGTAAAAATAATATTTATTTATTTATATATTTTAAATATTTAAAAATAAATTCTAGAATCAATATATTATAAAAACATACTGCTCCCGCCCTCCTGGAGGGCGGGACAAACAAATCGTCATGGGGGAGGGTGAGGCATATGATGTGACAGCGGGGAGAGGGATGCGCCGTGGTAATTTTGTAGACAGTCCCTTCCCGCTCTCCACTAGGATGATTTATCGCCGGGAAGAGGGCTGCCAGCAAAATCCCACACACGTCCCTCCCGGCGATTAACCATACTAGTGCAGGGCGAGAAGGGGCCACCTTCAAAATTACCGCAACTAGTCAGGAAGAGTGGGGTATAAATCACACTAGCGTTGTGGTAATTTTGAAGGTGGCCTCTTCCCTGCTGCAACGTCATATACCCTGCTCTTCCATAGGGCGATTTATTTGCCTCGCCCTACAATAAGGTGGGAGGAGTATATTTTTATAAAATATTGAATCTGATTTTTTTTAATCTCTCTAAAAAAATCTCTTTGCAAAACAATGGGCTCTCAATTAATCCCAGATTTTCCCCTATAAAAAAAAATTAAACCCAGACTTTGTCAAGAAGCCCACAGTAAGGTTAGGGCATGCAGTGGGCCTAGTACCGCGGTTGGTGCGGGCGATGAGATTAACTACTGGCCCATCCAAAGGTTGGAGCTGCCTCAATCTGCCATAAGCCCACGCACCTGAATTACAGATCAAGATGATTTATGCATCGTGTCAAGAAAAGAAAAAACAGAAGATTTATGCATGATCCATTCCAACTTTGTGTAACACCTCAGAAACAAGATTGTGTAGATGGTAACGGATACTTACGAAAAAATTATAAAACGACACGGTCTGATATAAGGTTGTCTCCGATTCTTGCGTTGCGGCTGAAACAAAATCTTTATCTTTATCTTTATCTTTACTATTATAAAAATTAAAAATGTTTTTATCAACTTTTTGGTACGTCATCTGATTCCGGTCCTCCATAGCTGTGTCCCATATCCGTGCAAATCTGCCATGTACGCGATCTAATCGAATCAAAACAAAACCCTCATATCGAGTTTGATTACGTCGCCAATTCTAATTCATGCTCTCCTTATTGTTCGTTTCCTTTGTCATGTCATCTGTGTGTCCGTCTCCATCGTCGCCTACGTGGCTACGTGGGAATCCCGTTCGGATTTTCGGGACCGCTCACATGTGACAGGGAGTCCTCTAGGACACGGCATCCAGACGCACACAAGCCTCCAACTGCATACCTTCAAGAGATCCGCCGGCATGACGTACGGTTTGTATGAGTGGCTGCACACAATCCACTCATACGTTCGAACTTCGCATGCATGCGGCTTTGCACTCGCGTGGCCCTGTTCTCGTCGCACACGGTGGTATACTGGCCAATGTATATGCTAGGGCGCTTGTGGCCTGTGTTGGTATTTCTTAGCGATATTACTAGGAATAAAATTTACAGCAATGACGTAGAAATACTCCTGATATATTATAGTTACAGAGTTCATCCGCAAGCACACTAATATACCTTTGTAACATTTTACCCGAGAGTATTCCAGCGGTATTGTATTTATTTAATCCCGTCGGAAGATCATAGTAGAGAGAACCAGACTAATAATTTATATGTTACTTATAATAATTATAGTCTAAGTAGGGGTTACGATAAATTAAATGATAGAGTGATATACAAGTAGAGAAATACTCATTCTCATACTAAAATATCTAAGCTAAGTGGAAAGAAAATAGAAGGAGAATCTTTTCCTATACTTCTAGTATACATAGTATACGTACATTCTAGTTATCTGATTAACTAGTTTAATACCCTCTATCCGATGCCCTCCTGGTACATCGAGAAGCCATCCCTGACTGTCGAGTTCCTTACGACAGCCTATCATTACCATACAACCGGGGCTAAATACGGAGGACTACCATCCTCAGTAAATTAACTTAGGACTATATACACGCGCGGAGGAATATCCGTACTGAGGTGTCACTATCAGTGGCCCACCTCTCATCCGCAGCATATAACCCCAAATAATGATATCCCGTAATCTAGACACCATGCCTAAACTACCAGATACTACTCTAATATCATCGTCATATCATAGAGTAATTGCATAAGCAAACATTGCCCGTACCGATGCATCTCCCAGATAAGCTAGCAGTATAATCAGTATAACATGAACATAATGTAAAGCTGGCATTCATATACTCGGAAAGTATTCAATACCATAAATGTATAAAGAAGAGTATTCTAATAAATGTACAAAGCTTACAAAAGAGGAAAATAGAGCTACTAGAGCCATACCTGAACTCTTCCGAAGGCTACCGGACTTCGATTTCTACTCTATTTCTACTCCACTAGCTTAAGAACACTAAACTAAACTTGACAGAATATGAGAGAGCTTTGCTTGAGGTGTGTGAGTGAAGTGAGAAGAGGACCTCCTTAAATAGGCTGCCAATGACGGTTGTGGCATTTGGAATGGTCGGAATTGCCCTCCAACCGTCATTGGGGAGTGATCCACACCGTCCAGAAGAAATCCTGCATCCAACGGTGCTAGGGGGGTTCGGCCGAACTAGGGGCCGGCCCAACCAGCCCAGGTTTTGGCTGGTGGCATCCTCTGTTGCTTCTCTTCGCAGACTTGTTAATTTTGGCTCAATTCATCTTGTCAATTATGAGTTTTTTGCCTATTCGTGCATAAGTCTGATTCTCGACATCATCCGATTGATTTATCGTCTGATTTGATGTCGATTCTACTCCACTTTATGGTTATTCCCTGCAAAAGGTTAGTGAACCAACTACTAGTGGAATATTATTATTCTAACGTGAATATGCATTGCAAGCATAACTAGTTCTCCTCTATTTTGGTAATATTGATGGTCGAAACTGATCGCTAATGACCGTCAACAAAACCCCCTAAGCTTGAACCTTTGGTTGTCCCGTGTAAAGGACGAAAGGAAACAAAGACTTAGTTGTTGATCAAGAGTTGCTACTATGCTGTATATCTCAAAGGTACAGGTGCAAGATATATGTACTCTATCTCAAATTAAATAATCTTTGGCACGGTGGCTTACCCTTATCCCTGATTCCCACGAGATATTGCTTCTCCTTGCCTTGAACAATTGAAAAACAGAACAACAATTAGAGCATGAATCACCCAATCTTTATTCAACTTTTATTCCAGAAGTTTTCAAATGATTTTGTAAAAGAAAAGCCAAGTTCCTCAAATGATTCACTCATTCTCTCTAAGTGTATCAATATGAATTCCTCACCATTTTTGCCTTTTTGATTCCTACTCTAAGGTTTGATATGTGGAGCTCGGTAGGGATTAAACATACTTGCATTCATATTTATTACTAAGTAAAAAACTCAGACTAAAATAGATAACTAAACATACTCAAGATAAAGATCGTGCAAAGTGTGTGATATATGGTGGAAATGTAATATGAAGAAAAATAAAGAAAATGCTTCTCTTTTGTGCTTACTTCCTTCTCCCAAAAATCCTTCTTTTATTAATAAGGAGAGGGCACAGCTATATTCTCTCTTTTTTTTTCTTTCTTTCAATATCATGCTCATGCTTGAGAGAGCATAACTTTATTTTTCTTTCATAACCATGCCTTTCCCTCCCTTCTTCTTTCTTTTTTTTTCAGAAAGGATTTTCTTTTTAAGGAGAAGAAAGCACATAAAAGCATGGAGAATTTATTTTGGTGGTAGTATACAAATGGAATGGAATGGATAATTGCTAACTCTCAGTGTAGGAGTTTAGCATTTGCATATATGTGGGTGTATGATCTTGATCATAGAGCATGAGAAGTATCTACACAAGTCACAAGAATTTGATAAAGTTCGATGGAATAGCAAGTAACCAAAATTTATATGGTTTAATCAATGAAGCATATTTTTGGCTCTAGTAGGAATTTATATCAAATGAGGAACTTTCAAATTTATCATTTCGAAAAACAAAGCATCCGGAATTCAAGTCAAACTAGGACTAGGATCATAGCAACTCTTATTTACTATCACATATCTCACAACAACTTAGACTCAGATTAGCAAGTGCAGCTCATTTACCTCAGGTTCCTAGATAATTGTTGGCTACTTATATTTAATTTTTGAGAGAGCACTTACCTATGAACCCATATATGAGAGATATAAAACAAAGCAACTATTCATCATTTCAACAAAGAGAACTAGTTTGTCTTACCTAGCATGACAAAACCTTACCTATCTTTTTGGTATTTTCTATTTTGCAAGTTTTTATGTTGTTTTCAGGTTTATAGGATGCAATTAGAAAGCAAACATGCAATTGGAAAGGGAAATATTCAATATGATACAAGTTACCTCAGTGGGGGGAGAGATGTTTCCCCACAAGCTTGGCTTTCGCTCAGGGTCCTTGGTAAGGATTGAACCCCTGAAAGCGGAAGTATGTTTGAAGGTCATCGGGCTTTTGCTGCATCAGGTTGTTGATGTTGGTGAACTGAGCATCAGTAGTTTGTTGCCATTCTTGCGCTTGTGCTATGTGTTCCTCGAGGTTGTATTGGACCTCTCCCATATGCATATCAAGGGTATTCATTCTCCGGGTGATTTCACCCAAGTCCCAACGAGAGGAACTTGAGCGCCATTCACCTGGAGATAGAGGCATACCACTTGATCTGGGGGTTGATTGCTCATGTCCCCCCACTGTATGTCATGAGGCACATGCCGTAGGTCCTCATTGGCACTTGCCCATTTTGAGACTCCGATGCTGTGGCGTGGAGCTTGGCTCCATCCGGTTACATCCCCAGTCAGCTCCCAACCTGCCTCATACGTTTGCACGGGTGTTGAGGATGATGAACCTTCTCGTTCATTCCTTGCCATGTTGCATATCTCCCTGTATGTTCGACCTACACAAGATTCTTCTATGGTCTGCAAGGGAATGGTTAGTTCATGGCAGTTGTAGAAATGATACCCCACATTAGGCAACGGGAATTCATTTGTACAATCGGGAAAAAAGTAAGTCAAAGATCCATCTACTCCATGTTTAAGAATATGCCTTTGCACTAGATAATTCTCATCAATACAGGGACGAGCGGCTGAGATATAAGCAATCTGGTCATTGACGTCCCCTAGTCCCTTGGCTATCCGAGTAATCAAAGAACTGCACTCAACAGGAGCAGAAAATCTTATACTTTCTAACCATTGCCTTATCATACATTTCACAGTAGCAACTTTGATCTTCCTAACCATGGCAAACATGATAATTAATTCATCCCCCTAATGGGTCTAAGATCACTTCTAGGAAACAAAGTCATAGCAATCCATTTGTGCATAAGCCTAAGTGTAGGATTATGAATATCATTCGTCCTAGGTTTCTTGCAAATTGGAGAACCATAAATATCTTCCCAAAACCTATTTTTCTCAAACGCAGAAATTCTTTTCTGAAGATCGATTTTACAGGAATCGTGAAAATCAAGAAGTATACTTAATCCTTCCATGAAAGTGTGTATTCCTTATGGAAAAAGCGAAAGGAAATTCTATCTTCTATTTCTTTCAAAGTGCACATGAATCGCAAAGTAAGCGAACAATAACCAGGCTCATCTACCACAGCAAATCTCTGCCAACCAACAACTTTCCAGATAGCACGAAAGTTAGTATCCATACCTATCTTTTCCAATAGCTCCAGAGAGTATTCTCGCGTGTGAGTATACTCCCGGTCTCTTGGCATGTAGTAGGCTTGTCTTTCCTGATCGTCGACAAGGTCGAAGTCGGCATCGCTCAAGAGACGTTGCAGAATGTCGGCATCCTCCATCGAGACATCGGTTGATGAACGAGCACTAGACTCATCATGATGACTTGATGAAGGGCTGGATCCCTTGCACAGACGAGGCAATCGCTTCATTCTGCATAATGAAGCAAGAACAGACTAACTCGGCGGGGGTTAGTATAGCAAGAATTTCACCCGCCGGTTAGTTTTCACCAAAGCAACTTTTATGTATGCGACTAAGTATTTGAATTTGAGGGAAACTATCAAAGCTTGAATGAATTTACGAGCAAAGTTTGAAGAGGGAATGAAAATGAATTGGAATGGGGTGCATTCCCCTCTCACAGCTGGCCGGCTTATATAGGGCAGCCACAACGGTCAAAAATGACATGTGGGCCCCTTAGCCGTTACCCTGTCAAAATTGGTAGGTAGCCGTTGCCTGGCTGGTTCGGCCGAACCTCTGGTGGGCCCAACCGGCCCCACTTTTGGCCATTGGAATCCAACGGTTAGTGGGGTCGTGGCATAGTGAATTTTTGTTGAAAATTTTATTTTGGTTTGCTCTGAAAAATTCATTTGAAAGAATTTCTTCAAAATTCAAAATCCTAAATGCAAGTTTTGAAATTCAAACATGTGTTGATGCAAAAATTCAAATTGTTGAAAATAAATATGCGAATTCATACCAATTTACCTGTTGGCGAAGGTCGCGTCATTTTGGGTCCGACGTGCAAGACCGTACCTCCTTTCAGTTTAGTTCACGGATTTTCCACCCGTCTCCGGAGGGGATGGAGCGGGTGTCTTTGGCTTTTCCTTCCACACCTTCTTTGGTTTTGGTGCAGAAGACGGCTTCTTTTGAGCTGGCTGCTCTTGCTTTTTGGCCGGTGTACTGGGTTTTACCGGCGTCTTCTAATAACGGTTCCTGGGAAACGCTGTTTCATTTTCCAGCAAATTCTGCATGAACTTCACCAGGCTGTCCGTCTCGGGTGGCTCCACTTCGACCTCTTGGATGTTTTGCAGGTTTGGCCCATACTTGATTCTGACACTCAAACTTTTCTTCCTTCCCGTTAATATGGAAACGGATACTCCCCGTTCCCACGTCAATGTTGGCTCCTACGGTGCTAAGGAACGGATGCCCCAAGATGTCGCGTCCAGGTAGTCACGGGACATGGGAGTGAGTCCATTATAGATGTTTTACAAGATAAGCCAGTCGTCCATCCCATGATGAGGACAGGCGGCCACATACTTCTGAAGTCGTTCCCACGCCTCAGGAATGGACTCATCCCCCGTCTGCTGGAAACACGATATTCTCCCACGAAGGGCGCTGGTTTTGCCCATCGGGAATAACTTCGATAGGAATGCCGTAGAACATTTATCCCAGGTGTAGATCATTGCACGGTTGGCATAGAACCACAGCTTCGCTTTCCCAAGAAGGGAAAACGGAAACAGCCACAGCCTGACGGCGTTTGGACTGACACCCTTCATGGTGTATGTGCTGCAAATCTCCAGGAACTGTTGTAAGTGAGCATTGGCATCCTCATTAGGTTTGTCGCAGAACAGGCTAGCCTGCGCCATCGTGATGAGGCTGGACTTCAGATCGAAATCCACTTCTCCCAGGTTGATCTGCGGCCCAATGGCCACGTTGTCAGCTGAGGGAGCAACAAATTCATGGAGGGTCTTGTGACTCTTGTCAGCCATATTCTGGAAGGTCGGTGGCGCTGGTATGGCTGGTTTCTTTGTCGGGAGAGTTTTCTGCGGAGCGACGACTCGCGGCTTGACGCTCCGGAAAAAAAGCTTCTGGATTTTCTTTAAAGTTTTCCGGCAAGTTGAAACCAGTCATGCAATACCGTGTTTCCACAACAATAGTGAAAACAACCAAGGTTAGCCTGCAAAGGATAGTGATTATGTAGAGGTAAATATAAAGTATTAGTTCTGGTAATCTCTATTATAAATCTTCCCCAGCAACGGCGCCAGAAATGATTGTTGGTATTTCTTAGCGACATTACTAGGAATATAATTCCCAGCAATGGCGCAGAAATACTCCTGGTATATTATGGTTACAGAGTTCATCCGCAAGCACACGGATATACCATTGTAGCATTTCACCAGATAGTATTGCAAGGGTATCGTATTTATTTAATCCCGTGGGAAGATCATAGTGAGAGAACCGGACTAATAATTTAGATGTTACTTGTAATAATAATAGTCTAAGCAGGAGTTAAGATAAATCAAAGGGTAGAGTGACACACAAGCGGGGAACTACTCATTCTCATACTAAAATATCTAAGCTAAGTGGAAAGAAAATAGAAAGAGAATCGATTCTTATACTTCTAGTATGCATAGTGTACACACATTCTAGTTATATAATTAAGTAACTAATACCCTCTATCCGATGCCCTCTTGTTACTTCGAGAAGCCACCCCTGACTGCCGAGTTCCTTACGACAGCCCGTCGTGACCATACAACCGGGGCTAAATACGGAGGAGTATCGTCCCCAAGAATTTAACTTAGGACTATATACATGCGCGGAGGAATACCCGTACTGAGCTTTCACCATCAGTGGCCCACCTCTCATCCGCAGCATATAACCCCAAATAATGATATCCCGTAATCTAGACACCACGCCTAAGCTACCAGATACTACTCTAATATCATCGTCATGACATAGAGTAATTGCATAAGCAAACTTTATACCCGTACCAATGCATCTCCCAGATAAGCTAGCAGTATAATCAGTATAACATGAACAAATGTAAAGTTGGCATTCATATACTCAGAAAGTATTTCAATACCATAAATGTATAAGGACGAGTATATTCTAATAAAAGTACAAAGTTTACAAAAGAGGAAAGGAGTGTTACTAGAGCCATACCCGAACTCTTCCGAAGGCATCCGGACTCCGATTTCTACTCTATTCCTACTCCACTAGCTTAAGAACACTAAGCTAAACTTGAGAGAATATGAGAGAGCTTTGCTTGAGGTGTGTGAATGAATTAAGAAGAGGAGGTCCTTAAATAGGCTGCCAATGACGGTTGTGGCAGTTGGAATGGTCGATATTGCCCTCCAACCATCATTGGGGAGTGATCCACGCCGTCTAGAAGAAACCCTGCATCCAACGTTGCCAAGGGGGTTCGGCCGAACCAGGGGCCGGCCCAACCAGCCCGGTTTTTGGCTAGCAGCCTCCTCTGTTGCTTCTCTTCGCAGACTTGTGAATTTTGACCCAATTCATCATGTCAATTTTGAGTTCTTGGCCCATTCATGCATAAGTCTGATTCTCGACATCGTCCGATTGATTTATCGACTGATTGGATGTTGATTCTCCTCCACTTTATGGTTATTCTCTGCAAAAGGTTAGTGAACCAAATACTAGTGGAATATTATTATTCTAACGTGAATATGCATTGCAAGCATAACTAGTTCTCCTCTATTTTGGTAATATTGATGGTCGAAACTGATCGCAAACGACCGTCAACAGCCTGTTTGCACGACGGCAGGGCAGGAGCAAAGCCACTGAGAGCACCAACCACCTCACCTGTCCTCCCAAAGCTGAACATATACATACACATGATTTGATATTTTTTTCTTCCCCGTTGCAATGCACGGGCCATTTTCCAGTCTTTTTTAGAAAATAAATTCTGCTTCCACCCACCGTTTTCATTCGTTCGTCTCCCCAATTAAGTGGATCACTGTCGTCCACGTATCACTACTAAAAACCGATTTTTGTGGACACACTCCCTATTTTATACAAGCGGACCAAAAGAGCGTCCACATGCAAAAAGATTTGCATGCTATTTGGTTATGAGTTATGACCCACATGAAAAAAAAATCAAATTTCACATACAGACCTCTTACGAAACCCGCATGGAGAAAGAACTTTCTGGGCCTCCTCGTTTTCCCTTTTCTTTTTAACCGTCCCCCCGACTCCCTTCTCCTCTACTTATATCTCGCTCCCTCACTTAGATTTTCTTCCCCTCTACTCCTCCCCCCTATGCCTCCTCTACTTCTCCCTCCTTCAGATCCACAAAGGGAGCCGATGGCGGGGTAGCGATGGCGGTCCGGTGGATGTGGCAACGACAGTAGTGGGCGGGAGGGCGAAGCTCGAGGCCAGTGGATCTGGCGGCACCGCCCTCGAGAGGGTCGGATCCGTAGCACTCGGTCCCGCTATAGCTCGAGGGCGGTAGATCTAGTGGCTCTGCCCTTGGGAGGGGCGGATCTGCTGCCCTACGCCCGGGGGTTTATGGCGAGGACAACAGCCTTGAGCTCGAGTGGATGAGAGTGGGAGCTAGGGTTTTGGGATTTCGGTTTCTTTTGGAAATTTTTTTGTTATTTTTTCTTTTCGCATGTGGGAGGTTTAACTGACCGCCCGCGAAAATCATTTTTTTGCATGAGGGAGCGTTGCCCGCATGTAAAAACTCTGATTTTCACAAATAGTTATGTGCATGCGGACGAAGTGCCTGTCTGCGAAAATACATTTTGGTAGTATGGAAAAAGTTTTCTGTAGTAGTGTATACAGCCATGTCCGATACAATTCCATCCTCTTTCTCATCACTCACGACCTCATTCGTACGTAGACTAAGAACAAACCAAAGTCACAATCGATCTGCCCAGATTGACACGGCTGCACATATGAGTATGTCGAGTAGGAGGAGAAGCTGCTCATGGACGGGTTCCCTAACCAATCTCTGCTCTGCACGCATGTCTCGCAAGAAGCCAAGCAATGGCCGCACATCGCGGTATCACCTCACACCGTCAAGCATTCACCCCGACAAACATCGAGAATCTCCCTTTGCTTCACATCATGTAGGTAAGTTCTTTTTGCACATCGACGTGGCACGGCCGTGAGAATTAACGCAAAGCGTGGATGAATAAGTGCTTATTTTCTCTGTAGAGTATGATGGGTTTCGGAAGTTTGTGTCTAGGTTGAACCGACTATTTAAGATGATTTCCCGACGAACTTTAAAGTATGATTGCCTAAAATATTTTGAAGAGCAGAAGCTAGAGCTACAAGATATGTCCAGAAACTGTACTTCTAATGTTTTTGTGCAGAAACTGTACTTCTAATGTTTCTCTAACAATGGCTATGTGGACCTCAAACCAGACTAGAGGATATATATGTATAACGTGGCACTTTATTGATGCTGATTGGAAGGTAAAAAAAAGATTTTTAAGGTTCTCACACTTAAAAACATTGCACATGGATGTTGTTATATTCAATACAATCCTAGAGACCATATAAGATTGTATTGTGAAGATAAATTGTTTTCATCACTTTGGATAATGCTAACACCAATAGTGCAATGTCGAAGTTATTGAAAGCTAACGTTTTGCAAAAGGGTCTACTGCATGGGCAAGGGAAGCTATTACATTAACATTGCATGTCACATGTTTTGAATTTAATACTCTATTGTAATCAACATCCATGGGAGCATTAAGTATATTAAAGGATAACAAGCTTGGATTGGAAGGTAAATTTTTAGGAAATTGTGGCACAAGTTATTGTAATAATAAAAAAAAACGTTGTTATTCTGATGTGCGTACTAGGTGGAACACCACCTGTTTGATGATTCAAACTGCGCCATTTAGACAAGCTTTGGAGTCCTCAGACTTGCAAGATAAGACCACACATACAAATATACTTTAGTTTGCTTTGTTAAAAAACAGTTGTAGAGTATGGAACATTGCAAGTGTTGTATGTGACAACAAATGTTATTTTAGGTCAGCTATATGGTACCTCAAATCTTAATTTTCATAAGATTTGGGATGTGAAGATTCTAGAAAAGTAAGTTTCAGCTTTGTTGGTATATCTTACGTTCATAAATAAAATACGCAAGCGCACGGAGATACTGCTGTAGTACTTCACGCAAAAGTATTCCAAGGTTTCGAATTTTCACAGGGAACATGTGTGTTTAGCTATTCTTTAGGTTTATGTAAGGACACAAATCAAATATAGACAATAGTGTAGAGATGATTTTCTAATATGGTACATAGTCATTTAGAAATCTTAACTTTAATCCTATCGCTATGCTTCAGGTACTGGCTTCTACCAGAACGCGCTCTACTCCCTACCTAGACAGGGAGGACTACGATGATCTCGAGGGCTGTCAACACCTCTACACCAAACTGTAACATACTACGAGATACGCAACAAGTACAGGTAATTAATAACCTAGACACCACATCTATGATTGTAATTACTACTTTAATATTTATAACTCACTAAAGTAATCACTATCTCTTAATGAGCAATGATCAGCCAAGCCAAATAGGAACTAAATAAAAAGTATACACACAAAATAAATCTCAATTACTTAAATAAAATAAAG